GAATTCCAGCAGATCTTAAATACTTCTCTGACTTTGCCCTGGCATGGGTATTCTCATGGCAATACAGATATGGTAAGACAGAGAATGAAGACACTCTCCCTCTATTGCATAGGTATTCCTTTGTAAAATGGTGGAATCAATTCAATGCAGATCATGCCGGACCAGAAGGAGTTGCTGATTTTTGGGAAAAATCCCAAAATTATTAAATCTTGCTGACCCAGCAACATTCAATTCCTTAATCAGAAATCCAAAATTGCAGCATTCTTATCAGGATGCGACACCAAAGGAAAAATGAAGAAAAATTTCAAGATGTTCTCCTGTTATTGCAAAGCCAAGAAGAAGGAGAAACTTCTAACCAAGATGCCAATATTGAAGATAATCAGAATGAAGATGATTGTTCGGTATTGATATCCAAGATCTTTAATAACCGGTACTATAGTGATATAGTTCCAGTCACCAACCGGAACTGTAGAAATAGTACTTTAAAAATTTCTATATAAGGAGGCCTCGTCTATATTGTGAGGTACCCTTTCATTTAGCAACATAAGAGAGATTTAAGAGAGAGAAGCTCTGAGAGAAAAAACTTCTTGTAAGCCTTCTTCTTCTTTGAGATCTTTCAAATAAAATTTGCTGTTTCAAATTATTTTCCTCTCTTCTCCCTCTTAGCCGGTCCTGTTCGGACTACCGTCGCTCCGGCTTTCTTCTCTTCTCCCTCCACTAGATCTGTGTTGGTTATACCACCGTTCTAGTTTCTTTATGTTATAACTGTTTTACATACTGCACTTTTAAATTTCTGCATCTCATTTAGTAGTCCTGCTACTGCCTACTTTCCTTTCAGTCGTTTATTCTACCTTTATTGGGTTATCTGGTATCAGAGCCTGATGGGGAAGTAGGAATATAACTGTTAATTGTCTGTAACTATGTTCTTCTGGATCTGGACTTTAAATTCCTTTATGAAATTTCTGTAACCATGGTTTATAGGCTGGACAGCTGACAGGCCCTTCGGGTGAGATCAGTAATGATCGTCCCTGTCTGTAACAACGCCACGAACTAATGGTACTGAAATATTGCTTTTGTACAGTTCTTTGTTTTTAGAAAATCCTTTACTGGAAGTACAGCAGTTTTCTTCGTTCTTTTGAAAGGGCTGTAGCAGTAAGTCCCGTATGGTTGAAAGGGCAGTAAGGCTAATTTGACGATGCTGTATTCAAAAGAAACAAAAGAACATAAGAAGCTGGTGGCTATAGTAAAAGAATTTTCAGAAAATTAAAAAAAAAAAAAAAAAAAAAAAAAAAAAAAAAAAAAAGTCCACAAATAAACCAGATCTAGTTGGATTAGTTATAAACAATTAACAGATGTATTGTTACGGAACCAAATGAGGGTTATGAGCCAGATGGTTTATATCATGTCTAGACTTCTTACGCTCTTTCTCTCGCATTTCCTTTCGGTCTGGCTCCAGTTCCTCCTCCTCCTCTCCAACTAAAACCAATCCCTTTAATGACCAGGAGAATCATTCTCCTGAAATCACACCCAAACACAACCTCTTCGACGAAGAAGTTCGTTTTTGAAGAGATCAATCAAAGTATGGATGACTGGACTATTCCAGTCATTCCTCAGGACACATTATATGTTCCTGAAGACCAACCCAAGAAAAACAGTTCTGATTATATTATCAAGACTGTTGAAAATTAATATCCCTTTAGGGAAAGGTATAGGGGAAGAATTTTCATCTCCTGTCTAAATCTCTCTCCAATGACCATAAAAGAAAGTACAAGTACCTTCACATAGGATGTGTTCAGATTAGCAATTAAACCTTTTGATAGACATAGGCATAGATGCTGCTGTCTTAATTTGTCTCAGAGACATTCGTCATAATAAATTTTGAAATGATTCTCTCATAGGAACAGTTGAACACCAGTCTTGGTCAAGGTCCGATTTATTTTAACTGTTTTCCCAACAAAACTGTGAGTCTTATGGATGAACACATCCTAGACTCCTTATTTCTTAATATTTGCTTTCATGGGTTAGACATGAAAGAGGGATTTTCAAAAGTATAAAAACCTAATTCTAAAATCTTATTTTTGAAAGAGTATTAGAATTGATAGGTTTATAGAGGCTAACTAGCGTCCTATTTTTGTACAATAAATTTATTTTATAGTGCCTTCAAAATAATAAAAGTGCTCGAATTGTAATAATAGTTGAAATGCATTTAAAAAATGTGGTAATAAATGAACAACAGAAGTTGGAATTACTAAGAAGAAAAATAAAATTGCAGTAAAAGTAAAAGTGAAATTCAAAAAGAGAAGAAAGTCATTCCAAGAATTGAAATGAAAATAAAAATAATTATTTTCTTCCATGGTACAATACAGAGGACAAAAATGGCCAATGTTGAAATAAATCGTAACTGGGTCTGTTTACTTGCTTTCAATTCATTTCTTATATTTTTGAGTGCAATATGTTATGCTTTCTTCCCCCTAAAAAGTTGTTCATCCATAAAGTATTTTAAAAAAATTTAAAATATTTTTTGTTATGCATATTTATTTAATATTTGCAATATACGTTCAAAGATATATATTACAAATTTATCTATAATAACTTTTTATTATAAATTATAAATATAATATATTAATAACATTAAATATTTATATTTATAATTTTTTACATGTAAAAGTCCAATATTTATTTTATACTAGAAAAAATAAAAATTGAACACAATTAAATAATGTTTTTTTATCTTTTTATTTAAAATTAAATTAAAAAATAAAACCACATATAATTTTCACACTTTTTTAGACAATTTTAATCTTGGAAAGTATACCCATAAAAATTAGCTCTATTAAATGTGCTCTTTGAATGCACGAATACAGAGTTTGTTTGGAATTTGTGCTACAAATGATCTCATCCATTGATTTTGCTTTAAAATTTGTGTGAGGGGATCGGAATATGTTCCATATAAACTCGTGTATTAAGACACGCCAAGTTGCTTTGGAATCAATGCTTGTTTGCATTAATCAAAAAAATGATTTTGAAAATATTAAAGAATATTAATTTTAGCAGTAATTTAAGTAGTTAATAATAATAATAATAATATATTAAAAATTATTAATCATATTTTTATATTTTAATTGTAATAAATTTGTTTTTTTTAAAACTGACTACCCTTTTTTTAACTCAAATTTAAGAATTGAAAGTTAGCAAAATAAAAAAAATCACTTTTAATAAATCGAGCTTTGAAATTGATAAAATCAAACTTAAAAAATTAAAAGTGATATTTTTATTTATAAAAAACCACATATTATATTCAAAATCATATGATGAATTTCATTAATAATGTTTTTTAATAAAAGAAAACATTAACTTCAGCATTTAAGGCTAGATTTAATAATAATGATATAATTTAAGAAATTTTTTTTTATTATACTCTTATTTTTTAACATAATAAATATTTTATTTTCTTATTAAAAACTTACTGGATTTGAACTCAACTCTAAAGGTTAAATTTAAAAATAAAAAATTAAACATTTCATTTTTAATTTTAACAACATATCACAATACATATAAAAAAATTAAAATACACTATTATCCAATTATAAACTGCTATAATAATTACTTAAAAAGTCATATTTAAGATAATTTCTAATTAGTCTTCAATATAAAATACTGAAATTGCATGAAAAATCATAAGGGGTTTTATTTATGCATATTGAATCACAAAACTAGTGAGTCTTGGTACATACTGGGAGCAAAGAGGGCATGACCATAATTATGGGAAGGTGTTGTTAACCTTGCTAACAAGAAGCCTTACACCATATTTTGGCATTAACAACATTTTATAAACGGGGCAATGGCAATAGTTTGGTGAAAGAGAAAAGGAAAAGTTGGTGAGAAGAAGAGAGAGAACAATCTTGATTTCTAGCAATGCAAAGTTTTGGCCTAAGCAAATTCGGCTCCCAAGACCAAATGGTATGTAAGCTTGTGGATACTTACAAGCTGCTGAAACACCACTAGCAAACCTTTCTGGGTTAAACTCTCTAGCATCTGGTCCCCAGTTATCAGTGTCACGGTGCAATGAGGGTATGAACAACCACATGTTTATGCCTTTAGGTAGCACATGTTCACCTAACTTCATCTCAGCCAACACTTCCCTTGAGGCTGTAACTGCAGGCCCATAAAGCCGTAGACTCTCTTGAATCACCATTGTTAGCTGCATAGGATCACATTGGCATCAATTATTCAGATTCTTAGACACCCAATGTGAGAAGGTGCTTTTGTACTTTATTATTAAACATGTGTCATGCCAGCTTCCAGGATGTATATGTTGTCACATTTAACTTTCAATTATTGCTAGTCTACTTTCTTTTCATCTTCTCTATCATTTGGTGACATTGTTCTTCTGTGGGGCCATTGCGAAATTTTCCCCATTCAGATTTTTGAAAAGATAATGTCAAAAATTGTGTTACTAGTCTAACATATTCTTTCAAACATAATACATAATTCACTAAATAGAGTAAAACCCATTATATAAAAATGAGTATGGTTAACCAGTGTCTTTTAAGTCATTAATTAAAATTTAGTTATATAACAAGGTGACGTATACAGGGGACCGTGACTTTTGATGTCTTGGATCCCATGTAGCTAACAATTCCTCAACTAAGGACAGTGACAATACAGCAGATGAATTAAAGGTTAACATGTATTATACTTTGGATGAATGCTAAATTTTAGAGGGTAATGTTATTCCCACAACAGATTCTCACAATACCTTTTCGCAACAATTTTTTCATCTAACTTTCTCCATCACATTAATTATCTTATCGTGAGATGGAATCGTTGAAATAACATTACTCTTTCAGAAAAGGGGTGTTGTACTTACTGCTTTTAGCTTCCGAAGTTTGTCCATGTCATGAAAGGAATGAGGCAACATGTTACCGTAGGTTTCCATAATCTCGGATCTAACACGTTGTTGCCAATGAGGATGTAAGGCCAGCAGCATCAGTGTCCAACTAACAGCAATAGCACTGCTCTCAGAGCCTGCAAAGTAAATATTTTTGCATATGTCTAGAATCAACTGGTTCACATTATACCCTGCCTTGAAAATACCCTTTTCACCATTATTGGTGGCATTGGCAGCACCTTCTAGAATTATATTTAATAGATCCTTTTGATTCTCATTTGTGCTACTCTTTTGGTTTTCTGCTTCACGGTCCTTGATGACTTTCAGGATCAGTGAGTCCACCTCTTTCTGCAATTTCCATGTCTCTTTGTTTTCCTTGGTGGGAAGAAATCTGGGAATGCATACTGTATATCATTAATTTAGCACATGGTATAGTTAAGTATTGATTTTTGTAAGATAAAACTTAGGTGTAGTTCTCAAGTATTTTTTGTGTGTTATTTTTAATCAAAACTAGAGTTTCATCTAATTTTGATTAAAAATAATATCTAAAGAATTGTGCCTACGTTTTTTCCTTTCATGATATAGGTTTGACAAAAATTAAACATGGATATATATATATATATATATAACCTTATGTTTAGAAATCCAAATAGAATACTAGGCCTTGCAAGTGCAGATTGCATTGTGGCCAATTTTGCAAAAATTAAATTGCCTTGAGCATAGGAGCTGCCAAAACAAGCTTTTGAAATGACATCCGCTGTAAGAACTTTCAGATCTCCATCAATCACCAACTCTGCAATTCCCCCCTCACTTTCTCGTATATAGCTTTCCCATTTTCTGATAATTTCCATGGTAGATTCTTCCATTAAATCCACCATATTCTACAAGTTAAACCAAAACAAACACATTATACACAAATGTTTGCGAGGGATTTTTCATATGATATTTTACATGTATCATCTACGTAACATGAAGTTTTAATCCAATTAAAAATTTGAGAAGAAAATTATTCAATAAAAAATATGAAATGATGCATGTATATTATTACTTTATTAGGACAGTATGGGAGAATAGACCATATAATGTCAAACTTTAGACAAAATCGCGTTCAAATTTTATCTTTCTTCTAGTAGATATTGAATATGTGGGACTATTTAGTATCCATGATGAGAACCATAACCAGACACAAAATTTTAAATATGTTTACCATATATTTTGGTACGTATCAGCTATATAATATGAATTTTTAATCCAACAAAAGCTTTGGTAAGAACTTTATTTGATAAAAAATTGTTAAATGATATATAAATATATATATATATGTGGAAAGAATCTTCTTACACCAGTGTAAGTTTAAAAATTCTTACACTCAATCTAAATTTTTCATTTAACTTAAATTTAATGACTAGTAAAGTAATAAATTATAACCTGTTAAATTTAAGTTAAATGAAAAGTTCAGATTGAGTGTAAGAATTTTTAGACTTATATCAGTGTAAGAAAATCTTACCCTATATACTGTTAGATTTAAATTAAATGAAATGTTTAGATTAAGTGTAAAAGTTTTTAAATTTACACTGATGTAAGAAGATCCTTCTTCAATATATATATATACACACTCATGTACATATGCCGACCATACTAACCTTAATTTTGGTAAGGAAAAACTCAGGAGCAAGCAGATTCCTCTGGAAGGTCCAATGTACTCCATTAGCCCTAAGGATGCCTTCACCCAACATAGGCTTCAATGGTTTGGTTAGATATGAAGGCCTGCCTAGATCCAAGGACTTATGCAGGCCTATCCCTTTTATTAATTCGGGTATCCCCACATATAGATGCTGTTTGATTCCAGTGGAGTACAAGAATATTGAACCTGGTGATGATCATATATGCTCATAAAAACAGAAAAATCACATGCCCAAAATATATAGTAGTCAAACACAAAAACTTTATGGTGAAAAAAGGAAAACTCAAGATAGATTCAAATTATTTTGTAACATAATCAACAATCAAAGGAAAACCACAACAACAACAATAACCTTATCTCATTAGGTGAAGTCAACAACAATCAAAGGAAAACAAATTAAAAAAATGATATATAGTTGTGTTAATCACCAACAACACAAATCAGTAATTAATTTTCATGTACCATAGAGTTGCTTCCATTTATGGAAGTATGGGAAGAGGGAATGAAGCCAATCATCTAAGTTCTCAATAGACACAGGAGCTTGCTGATGGACTTGTTGCATCTCAGAAATGTTGCCAAAAGGAAAGGAAGGTTTTGGTCCCTTGATGCCTTGCTTCTGAAGCATTGATCTGATCCTTTGTGGCCTCAGCCAAAGCTTCTCATATATTATGATCATGCTGCATGCAACTATGAACACCATTGACCACCATATCTCTTTCACCACTCTCTCTGAAATTTGCCATTGGCCTTCAGCTTCCATCCTCACTCTCTCTGTCTCTTGCTCACTCACTTTATGTGATTAAGGTTCACGAAATGGGCAATGCCTGTCTCTACTTTTTATAGGAACAGATTGATTATGTTCAGATGTATACCATAATAACAAATCACTACGCAATTGTCATTTTAATTATTTAAAATAAATAGTATTAAATGGAAAATGTAAAGAATAATGCTCTATTTATATAATAAATCAATGTTTTAAAAATTAAACTTGATGCTGAACTAACAAGACTTGATTCATGGTGAAATTGGCTTACCAGTTGAAAATGTATGGTTGAACCAAGCAACGTTTTAAGTCAGAAATACAGGTTCACCAGTCTATTTAATATCGTTTTCAAAAATTGATACATCCTCCTAATTGATAATTGCTTAAAATCGATAATACTAAATGAAAAATATATTAAAGCCTGAAAATATTTAATGTTTTTATTTAAATAATAATAAAATATCATTAAAAAAGTTTTGGAGGAGAATATAATAGTATTCTTCATATATTGGACTTTAATATTTTTTATTAATACCTAATAGGAATAAATTTAATTAAATGAAAATGTCTTTAAATCATTTTAGTATATCAGGTTCATGCACCTAAACTATTTTTAGATATATGTTATGAATTTAATTATAATACATATGCTTATTAGATATCATCCTATAGATCTCAATTCATCCTTCAATTCACACGAGGGATAGACAGTAAAATATTACTCTTAAATATTATACTTTTCTATTAAAACATTTTACTTTCAATTTATTAAGCATTTCCCCTTGAGGATAATGGTTAACAAAATCGTTTAATGAAATCCTCCTAACATCTTAATATTTACTCAACAGATAGTAAAATATTAATTCTAAATGAAAAAAATATAGCATCTTGAGAATGAAAAATCATTAAAATCTTCTTTTACAAATTAAAAAGATTGATTATCTATTTATGTATTGGGTGCATTAATTAAGGTAACAAATTTTAAAAATATATTTAATTCCTCTTAATAAAATATATTTAATTTTCTTATTTTTATTATAAGTATTATGAAATTTCTTATTATACTCATTTTAAATTTTTTTTATGCAATAGGTGGAAAGAGAGAAGACAGAAAATGAGTTTTGAGATAATTATTAAGGCTAAAATTGAAGGAAAAAATTAATTCTACCTTAAAATTATAAGATGACTACTATTAAAAAAAATTGTTTCTCAAAATAAACTAAAAAAAATATTTTTCAGAGATAAAGAAATTTTTTTTTTTTTTTTATAAATAAGACTCAAACCAATATCTTCCAAAATCTTATATTTTAAAGATAAAAGAGGAGGCATAGTTAAAAAAGAAAGTGAAAAAGTTATTTCCAATAAACAGAAACATTAGCCCAAACCCCAATATATCACACAGCCCAAAAGTGGACCTCTAAGCCCAAAGAAAATTAAAACTCTAAACCATTTTCAGCATTTTCGCCAGCATCATATGTTGTCCAAAAATTTCTAACGAAAAAATCCCAGTACAATCAGATCAAATCAAATATAAAACAAAATTCTAAAAACAAAAAACAAAAATTATTAAAAAAAAGGAAAATTCTAACCATAAGAGAAAACATTAGGAGCATCGTCGTCGTCATCATCATCAATATCATAAGGTTTGATGCAAAAATCACATGCAGCAGTTTTTTGAACTGCATGAATCCCAAACATTAATATCTAGTTTTAGTTAAATAAAATAGTAATAGAAAAATGTGGTTAAAGAGAATGAACGGTGAAAGAAGAAAATGCACAACCTTATGAGGGTGGTTGGAGCATTGCATGCGATTATGTGCCAAAGATACACTTGAATGCATGAAGACCCTTATGTGAGTGTGGGATGAATTGATTCCAAAACCTAAGAAAAGGAGAATAAGATGGCAGAGAAGGGTACCTCAGACTCAGTTTCTGTTTCTCAGCTTCTTCCTTTTTCTTTTCTTAACCAGAAAATTTATGCATTGTTGGTGTGGAAATTGGACACTTCACTATATGGCACGATGAGCGAGGCAAATAAGATTTGTCCCTTACTCTGTCCTGAAACGATTAAATAAACTTTAAAATAATTGGACCACGATGCTGCAGTTTGTAATTAGTGTATTTTTTATATTTTTATTTAAGTGAAATTTTTTTGTTTAAGTAAAAAAAGCAAAAATGCATTAATTGCAGATAATAGTTACTACAGAAAATCCTCCTGTATATTAAAGAGTGTATTGAATGGGCAATTATGAAATTTAATTTTAATGTTTATAGATTTTTTTATATTTAAAATTCAATTTAAAGTCAGATAATTAATGTTCTAAAATTTTTATTTTAAGAATTAAGCTTTTAATTAAATTTAGTATGGATTTTTTAATTCAATATAAAAATTGTAATTAATTTAAATATAACTTTTAAGATAAAATTAATATATGTTTATGAAAATTGAACATAATTTTATTTTCATAAAATTACATTACAGTGAAGTATATGCAATTATGTGAACATATAATGCAAAATTGACCATGTTTTAAATATTTGTTTGATTTAAAGTTGAATAAAAATAATTTTTATAAAATTAAACTGTTAAATATTTTTTATATATATGCATAAAATAATCCAAATTATATATTTATAAAAAATATATTTTTATTAAAATTTATAAGATTTAATTCTTTAATTATAAAACAAACAAGTCTTAAATTATAGGATTAAAATTATTAATATACAAAAGAAATATTTATATTAAAGGGAAAATGATTATACACATAAGTAAAAAAAAATTATTATACATAATTTTATAGTTTTTGGTAATTTATATAATTCATTCCAAATAAACTATTTTAAAATTATTAATATAAATAGACAATAATTAAAAAAGGATGGGAATAATTATACAGATAATAAAACATTGTTTAATTGACTTACTAAGATTAAGGTGGCTTTAACTATTAGAAATTTTTTTGTCTAGCCCAAAGATCAATGCAATGGAATGCTATTCCTAGACATAATTCAATACCTTTGTGCATGAAATTATGAAATATATTAAGGCTAGTTTGTTAACTTCTGTATTTAGATTAACTGTTTAAGGTTTAGGATTTAGAATATTAAAGTTATAAAAAATACAATAAATATTTTTTAATATAATTTTATTATTATTAATTGTTTATTAGGACCGAGGGGCAAACATGGAAATAAGTATATGTGATTTATGAATATGTTATGTGTGACTAATGAAATTGTGTTTCCTTCCAAGACTAATAGAGCTATTTGTTTTATTGGGTTTTTTTTTTTTTGAAATATTTATTTTGGGAAAGAGGTATATACTTTTCTTAGGAATATGTTAAGTACTTGGGAGTTGTATTTTGGGATGAAAAAGAGAGGAGATAAAATAGCTTTATTTCAAATTAAAAAATTCTACAATATTTATTAAACTATATAACATATTAATATATTAAATTTATATTAATGTATTTTTAAAAAATTATGAAATTACAAAATTATTGGCAATATGAGTTTTTTGCTTTTTTTTTTTTACTAAGGTATTGTTTGGTTCAAATGAAAGTAGAAGAAAATTTTAATAAAAGAGAAAGATATCTTATTTAATCGCAAGCGAGGAGATGAAAAAAAAAATAAATTTATTATTGTATATTAAAATGATTTTAAATATGCATATTAAGATAAAGATAATTTTGTTCAATTTATTTAAAAATTTCTTTCTCATCTAATTTTTTATTTTTTTTACTTTTGGAAGAAAATCGAAGTTAAGTAAAAAAAAAACATAAAATACTCTAAAAATTCCTCTGCTCACCTTCATTTTCCTCCGACTAAACTAAGTAAAACATAGTTACCTAGCATATCCTTAATTGAAAGTTACTTTTGGTTTTTAGTTTGTATTTTGAATGCAGAACTATCAAAAACAAAGAGAGGACTTTTGTCCTTCATTTTACAAATTTGTCAATCACGCTGTTAATCAGGAATCAGTGCAGAGAGTCATCAACAGCGGATTGAATTTCAAAATTCACATAATCTTAATCAGGATATGCTACAAATTGAGAAGGGCTAGAGCTGAATGAACTTCTGAATGAGAAATCAGATGATTGTCCCATTGAACTTTTACAATATGCTACAGCTGCCTGAATGGAGTTCTCACCACTAGTGCATAGTGAAAATCCTTCATGAGTTGGTGTGGTGTTACAAGAACTTGACCCACTTCCCCTTTTTGATATGCTACCTTTTTGAGCAATGCTCATTCCCATGGCATTGAATATACCTCTAAGTGCTCCCAAATCCATCTCCATCACCCCACTGGATTTTTTACTGCTTCTAAAATAGCCACATATGTTATCATGCCCCAAATCCCATTGCTTGCTGCTCTTCCTTCTTTTATCTCTGTTCTTTGTAGTGCACCTTCCATTTGAGGGATTGACCAACCCCTTTTGATAGCAATGAAAAAAAGTCTTGGACTTTTTGCTTGACTTGTGTCCATTGTTGACTTGGCAGGGTTGTCTTGGTTTCACAAGTGATGCTAATAGTGCCCCAATCTTTATACCTCTAATCTTGATCAACAAGTTCATCATAAACCCATTTGTTGTTGTCGTCAAGCTTGGTTGTTTACTAGTGCTGTAAAAATATAAAATTTGATTATTGGAATTAAGAGACCCCACAATTATGTAGGCTTAAGGTTGTAACTCGAGGATATGCATGTGTAAAGTAATCATGAAAGAACACATGATCATTGATTCATTATTATGAAAATACTAACCACAAAGTTTATATATATATATATATATATATTTGTTATCAAATTAAACCGTGATCTTTGTTAGTCAAATTTTGCATTGAGTTGTCAAATAAGATAGAAGACTTAAAAACAAATTTGTCATGTATATATATCAAATTTCACTACAAATAAAACACATGGCGAACACACATGTTGCTTTTGGAATAATTGATGAGCATTAATTAAAAATAGCTTGAGCTTATTGCATAGGGATTAAGATAAGAACTTGCAATTTAAACTATTTTGTTCACTTTCGGAACACCATTATGTTCTGTCTAAGAACATGTGATTAGTATACTTACCTAGTACATAGCACGTCAACGTTGTCATAGATCACATGGGTTGCACTCAATATTTTTGTTTGTATATCTGGTTGAGGAATTGCCTGTATCACTGTTGGATCCAATGATACACTGTCATCAGCAGAACAACTCATTGATATTAAAGGGACCTCAACTGCATCTACCTTTGGCACTGAAGCGTGAACCCTTACACTTTCTTTTTTATCATCTGAATGGGATACAGAAATGGTTGACGAAATCGATATGCGCAATTGGTACTCTTTGCATTCCCCATCATCATCATCATCATCATCATCATCTATGGAACTCCCCTTGATGCTGCTGCTCTTGTTCTGATCATGATTGTAACATGTGGGTGCAGTATCAAGTTCTATTTCAATGTACGAATCAGCTTCATCACTGCAATCAGTGTCTTCTAGGATTTCAGCTACACATTCCTCCATGGCTGGATGCGGAAAGTATAATTATTTCTTCAGATAATTTGAGGATCTGCAATTACAAGTCTGCATAGCTCAGATATCACCACCATGTGTGGTCATTGGTCAACAATCATAGCTAAGAATAACTAGTTGTTGGGTCTTTATTACTAAGTACTCCATAGATGGTGCTGTATATATATTAGTGTCCTGGAATAATTAATTAGCAATTTGGGTGCAAATAAATAAGTTAGCGGTGGATTTTATATTAAACAATTTTTTTAACGTGTACTCAAAGATACTTAATAAAAATTATATATAATTAATTTTTATTAAAAATCATATAATATTATAAATTTGATATATTATACGTTAAAAATAGTAAATAATTGCAGATTAATTTGCCGTACGTACGTGCTCCCAATATGGTATTACATATGGAGCATCTTAGAAGGTGCCAATAACAAAGTACAAGATCATATATTCACACTCGTCAAGTTATATTCCAAACATCAATAGTTCAGTCACGGACTCACCCAAACTTCACTGTTTTTCCACTTTTGCTTCATAAAGAAGGATAAATCTCCCTAAATTCAGCTCCTTCTTACTAAAGTTTCATTTTTAAATACAATATATACATCAATAAAATAATTATACTTAAGAGTTCGGTACATGTAAGAGTTTTAAAATTTGAATTTTATTTTCATAATTTTTAAAAAAATATAGTTCTTATTTTTTCTTCTGTATTTTATTTTTATTTTCTCTAACTGACGTAATTTATAAAAATAATTTTAGATGTTAGTTTTTTTTTTTTTTTATTGAACATGAAAAGAGAGAAATTCATATAAGCTAAATACATATTTACCATCGATTTATTTTAGTGGTAAAAAAATTTTAAAAATTGCATAAAATAAGATGAGAGAAAATTTTAATTTTTTGTTTTAAATTTTTTTATAATTTTTGTTTTTTGATTTTTTTTATATATTTTTTTAATGAATTAAACTGGATATTTCACCGGTGTAATGGAAAACTCACAGAAAAATATGATGATAAATTTAATTTAAAAATCATTTTAGCATTGAATTATTTGCAGGCTACGCAATAGAAAGCATGAGTATAAAATCAAAACAAATAAAAGGGACAAGTAAAACTGATCAAACAATAAAATTAAAATGTTTATTTTGTAGCGATTCAAATAAATAATATTTTTTTACGTAAGGTGTTTTCTATAAATAACATTTTATTGACCTCAATTTTTTTGTTTTTACCATGAAAGATGAATTATCAAATTAATGAAAGCCTAGTGAGACTAAAAATTTGAATAAAAAACATTATATTTAGTTGAAAGAGAAACAAATATCTACACTTCGAACTAAAATTTGCTAGAAAAGCTACCCTTTGAAGACTATTAATGATTCAGCATCTCTCCATGCGATCCAACACAAACAATGTGACATTTTAAAATTGTTTAAAGTCTCTTGAAACAATTTATTAATTTTTATAAGACAGTTTATCAATTCGTTAGGCATAAAATTGGCTAATCATATAAAATTTTATGAACTGGTGTTTTTATAATGATAAGAGCTACAGTGACTAATAGTAAAAAAAAAATTATTCTATAAATTTTATTCAAAATAAGTCGATCTATTAAGGGGCGATTAATTTAAGTATTACATGTGTAAAGTATTGAGTTAATTTTTTACATATAAAAAAAATTGTTAAGAAATTACTTGAGAAGAAAAGTTTTAGAGTGAAAGAAAAAGGAGGACAAATTTTGTATTTTAAATAAATATATTTAAAATCAAAGGTATAAAATAATATATTGACATAAACTTAATATATTTATCATGTATTTACTATTATAAATTATATATAATTATTTTAATTAAAAATTATAAATATTTCATTCTCTCCTTTTCCTTCAAGAATTTCCTTTCAAATATACCTAAAAGAATTAGTCATGTTGTAGATGTTTTTAATTTGAATGAAACTACTTTCAATAAAAAAAAAAATACTTATAAAATAGTATTTAAGCTGTTAATAAGGAACAAAATTTAATTATTGAAGAAGTTTTAGAGAAAATAAGAAATAAAATTCTGTTTTACAAAAAAAGTTTTTTTTAATTGTAAAACTGTAACTTTGTTTTATTCTATTTTATTTTCAAATATTTATAGAAGTAATAAAATAAATTTACCATTTTTATAAATTCTTAAAAAAATAAAAATTTAATTAAAATACACTGACATTATAATATTTTTATATTTTCATTTAATAACATATTGTGATATAAGTAAAAATTATTTCTTTGTACAATAACTAATATAAAAATCATATTACGATGTATTTTAATTAATTAACAGTATAAAAAGACAGTATATCAAAATTAAACTCTAAAAATAAAATAATAATTTTATAATTAAAAAATAAATAAATATAATTTTTCAAAATTGAACACTCTCAAAATAAAAAAAAATGTTACTTTGAAGTTGAATTAATAATACAATTAGATTAATATAGTTAAAAAAATATTTTGGATATAATGTTTGAGGCACCCAGCATTTTCGTATAGACAAAGGAAACCTTGTGTTCTGTGTTGTGTGTTCTGAGTTCTGACTGTGATATCGATTCACATGAACGAGAGATTTAAGGAAGAAAAAGATATTTTGAGAATATGAGAATAACGGGCTTTCAGGATTCTATTCCCATGACAACTCCTTTGAAACCACCATGTTTGGATTTAGTGGATTCTATTCATCTGCTTCCTACTACTATATATTATAATATCAAGTTTCAACTTGGATTAAAGTCCACCCAACTAATTAATCCCTTTTGTCTCTCTTATTATTATTATTTTATACCACTAATTTTCTTTAGTAAATAAAACCTTATTCGAAAGCTAGCAGTTTCTTTTTATACCTGTGTGAAGAAGTATGTTTTAATAAAATAATCGCATGGATTAGAGGTGACCCACTTAAAATTATGGATTAGAGTTCTATACCCATAAGCTCGTATGCGTCGCTTTGATCCATCAAAACATGACTATTTATTAATAATTTTATATTATTATTAATATTAAAATATTATTTTATTGATTTTATTAAATTTTTATATTAATTTTAGATAAATCAGTCTCTCAACTTACCAGCTTGTCAACTTATTTTATATATATTTTAATCTGTTAATCTTTGATGAGTAGCCTGTTAATTCACTTTTAAATAAATTAGAGTTATTAGTCATTTTTTTGTGTCTAATATATTTTATTATTTTAATATATTTATTTAATTTCAGGTTAATATAAAACTATTTGTGTTTCATATCTAAATAAGTTTTAATTAAACATAAAATTAAATAAAAAATAAAAACAGAGCAATATAATTTTAGACTTTTTTACCATAATAAAATAAAATAAAATCAAAATTACATAAATGTCATATACTAAAAGAAGTACATAAATATCCTATTTAACATTTAAAAAAATGATTTAAATTATTTTTTAAAATAAAAAATTATTTGAATTAATTTCAGTTTGCTGTACATTTGCATTGTATTTATTTTTATAAAAATCAATTATAATTGATTGCAGTTATTCTTTTTATTATATGAAAGTTGATTTAAATCGACTTTGTTTAAAGAAGAAGTTGACTTGAATCAACTTCAATATAAAAAGAATGTCAACTTTAATCAATTTTAATACAAAAAGAAAATTAACTTGAATCGACTTTAGTATAAGAGAAGTCGACTTAAATAAACTTTGATAAAAGAAAAGGTTCAACTTTAATTGACATATAAGTAATGTAATTTGGTGATTGAATTAAACTAAGTCATAATATCAGTATTTGATATGAAAGGTAAATTTAATTAATATTATTTAAATGTATAAATTCTATTAAAATAAATAAATAAATTATTACAATTCGAATTAACAATTAAAACTTTTAAAATATAATTAACACTTACTAAATTTAAATTTATTCTAATTCACTAAGTTATAGTTTAAATGTTTATTTGTTTAAAATTATAATTGTTTAATTTATTGTAATAAATAGTAAAAATCTTAATATAAAATACACTAACAGTTTTATAATCTACATTTGATTAAATATGTAACAGACGTTTATACAATACATGTAACAGTCATTTTAATTAGATAACTAAATATTTAATGATAAATTAAATTCAAATTTTTTAGATAAAATTAAATAAATATTTTAAATATTTACACGACAATTCACTCGCAATATGATTAATAAAATTAAATCGATTTAAATTATTATTAGTCTATATTGTAGTTTCATTATATTTCTTTTTCTTTTTCTTTCTTTCTGTCGATTCTTTTTAAAGATATTTGTTCTTTTTAGGATAGTCATGGCGGATAAGTATTACATCCAAATTAATTGAAGTTGACTTTTTTTTTACATTAAAGTCAATTTAAATTAATTTTTATGTAACAAAAAAACAATCACAAATAATTAAAATTGAATTCTATAAAAGCTAATATGACATAGTACACAATAAATTGAAATTATTCAAATTGTTTTTCATTTAAAAAAATTAATTTAAACTATTTTTTTAAATGTTAAACAGTATTTGTATATAATTCTTTTTATTAGAGGATATTTATATAATTTTAATTTTATTTTATTATGATAAAAAAGCCATAATTTTATGATTCGAAGACTTTTACCATAATTAAAAGTTGAATTGAAAACAGTGGCAAAATGAGGTATAACGTAAACAAAATGCTTGAAAAGAAAAGTTGAAAATGATGGTAACAATTACATAACATTTATGGAGAGATTACTTGTAGCTAGCGAGAAAATCTCCACAAAAAGGAAACAGAACAGGAGCAAAGCAACTGGTGCAAAATTGAACATCATGATCCAGCACCAGAAGCATTGAATCAAACCCGTAAGTACCCGAAAAATTAACGAACTAACAAGTGTAATGACATTGACTATCGTAAAATTACAACGAATTAAGAAGTTCGGACAACAGTTGTGCGCATCATTTCCTTAAACTCACAAAAATCGACACGACCGTCGTGGTTGGTATCAACAGATCCAATCATCTTCTGAACATTGTCGATTAAATTCCCCTCAGCGAGACCAAGCTTCCCCAACACAACCTGCAATTCCTTCGCCGAAATGTAACCGTCACCGTCTTCATCGAATACCTTGAACGCTTCCCACAGATCGGATTCGTGTTGAGCCTCTTCCTCGTTTTCCACGAAGCCGAAATACGTGTCGCCAAGGGATTCGTGGAGCACCACGAAATCCTCGTACACGAGTCCCTCGTTGCCTGGCTTTATGTAGGACCTAGTCATAGACTCCAGCTCCGCCACGTCAGCTTCCAGGCCTAACAGACTCAGCGCCTGGCTTATTTCCGTTACCGTTATCATGGAATCTCCGTTTTTGTCGAACATGTCGAAGATGCGACGGAGGCGGAGCGAGTTGAGGCTGGGGCAGCGAAGACGGAACGACGGTGACGGAGACGTATGTGCGAGTTTGTGTTGTCCCATTACCATGCCACACCGCACCCTCGGGCGCGTGATGTAGAAGCGCTTTTGGAAAATAAGAGGGAGGGATGGGTGGGAACTGGTAATGGGAAATTGCAAGTGTTGTCGTTGTAGTCGATTAATAGATTTTGGTTTGGCTTTGCAAAAGCAGAAAATGGTAAGGACTCACCAAAACCAACAATTTTCCTTAATTTTCTTCCTTTGTGTCTGTGTTTTGTGCTATATTATGTGAGACTATGCGTGTTCGGTGGCCCGCCAAAGGGGACTTCCTTCCTTTCCGCTTCATCTTGTTCATAACACTTTTTTTTTATTTTATAGATTTTTCTTTTCATGCAGTCTATGTAAAATTTTATTTTATCAACTAATTAATCAATTTCATTTTTACTCATATACCACTATATGATTGAATGGCTGTTTAAAAGGATTAAAGAAATGAGTTTCAACTACTTCATTATTGTGAATAATTTATGTATTAAGAAATAAAATATCTCTCACTTTTCTTTTTGATAAACCCGCTTTGGTAATTTTCGTTCTAGATGAAAAGAAAGGCTTCAATTAGGCTCTTGAAAATGGGTCATTGACTTTGGAATCGAAGGACTAATTCAAGTCATCCCATGAGCTTCTCACCTAACTGGTTCAGCTCTTGATCTAAATATTTATTGATTTAATGTGTCGATTTTGAATTTTGCGCTTATCTTTGAGTAATGATTTTTACGTAACATTTTGTTATAATTTTTTTCTCTATTACTTCTTACTATAGAAGATATTATAAAAAAGCGGCATGAGACACACGTAGATGACAGAGTAATGAAGCACGTGTGCTGGATGGACGGAACCCAGTCTCGAAAAGCACGTTGCCAGACACCTAAACAATAACAAGTGGCCCAAGAAACTACTAATTAAATATGGCAGAGTACTTGCTAATTAAAAATGTTTGACATATCTTTAGTTTTAAGTATAGATTATTAAAATTTACATATATTTTTGTTGATATATGTAAATTTTAAACCCATTACAATAATTTTCGATTTATGGTTATTGAAGAAATTCTTATCTAATATTTTTATATATAACTAGGCTTATTATCATTAAGGCTTGTTATTATTTTATAAATTTAGACATATGAATATGAGGATAAATTGCAAGCATGATATAAGAAATTTTTTTATTTATATTATAGAATATAAAATTATTTAAAATTAATAATATTTTAACATTTTAATAAAAATATATATAAGCCTTACATGCAAATAATAATTTAAAGAAACTTAAAAATTAATAAAATATATAATTAATTTATAAAATAAGTATAGACCAAATTTTTACTTGATAAATCCATATTTTATCATGTTTTTAGCATAGTTTTTGGTTAATAATTAGGAAAATAGTTCTAAAATAAACTTGAAAAGATCACAAAAATAATATAATTAGTATAAATTGTTTGTTTTGTTGAAATATTAAAAATTATTTAAATTTTTGTAGGAGTTCATGCAAAAAGATAAAAAGTTGTTGAAAGTGCTTAAAGGAAGGATTAGAAGTTGAAATTAAAGAAGAATAGTCAAAGAATTAAGCTTGAAGAAATCCTAAGAGTTGGGCGTTACAACTCCAAGTGATTGGCGTTTGAACGTGGAAAGAACAAAATACAGCACTGGGTCTGTGTGGCTATTCTGAGTGGAGATGTTTGATGTGTGGGGAATTGATTTCATGGGACCATTTTCCACGTCCTTTTCTCATGAATATATACTTGTGGCAGTAGACTATGTGTCTAAGTGGGTGGAAGCCATCCCAACAAGGTCCAATAATGCTAAAGTGGTGATATCCTTTATCAAGAGAAACATATTCACTAGGTTTGGAGTACCTATATGCTTACTGAGTGATGGAGGTACTCATTTTTGCAATAAATATCTTGATTCAGTCTTAGCAAAATATGGAGTGAAACACAAGATTGCTACATCTTATCATCCATAAACAAGTGGACAAGTGGAAGTTTCAAATCGAGAAATTAAGCGAATCTTGGAGAAGGTGGTGAATCAATCAAGAAAGGACTGGTCCAAGAAGTTAGATGACTGTCTATGGGCATACAGAACAACCTTTAAGACTCCAATTGGTATGTCACCTTACCAATTAATCTATGGAAAGGCATGTCACTTACTTGTGGCATTGGAACATAAGACCTATTGGGCTACAAAGTGGCTGAATTTTGATTTGGCAAAGGTTGGAGAGAAGAGAATTTTGCAGCTACATGAATTAGAAGAATTCAGACAACAAGCCTATGAAAATGTCAAAATATACAAGGAGAAAACCAAAAGGATCCATGATAAGTTCATCTTGAAAAGGGAACTCAGACCTGGACAACAAGTGTTGCTGCTCAATTCAAGACTGAAATTATTTTCAGGGAAACTCAGATCAAGGTGGTCTGGACCCTTCCTCATTAAAGAAGTATCACCTCATGGGGCAGTCTTGGTGGCAAATCCTAATACAGGGAGAGAGTTCAAAGTCAATGGCCAAAGGTTGAAAATTTATCATGGAGAGGCATTCTCAAAGGAAATTTCATGCATCAAAGTGGTTTCTCTTGAATGAGAAACATCAAACGTCAAGCTAGTGACGTTAAAAGAGCACTTATGAGAGGCAACTCACGTTTCTAAAACCTGAACTCTTATTGATTGTAGTTTAGATGTTGAATTTCTAGTTAATTTTGAGTCATAGTAGTATACTTTGTTGAATTAGGTAGAAATTAATATTCTAAAATTAATATTCTGAAATCAATCTACTCACATGACGCCTTGGCCGCAAAAATGCACCTTCACTCTAAGTGAATAAAGTCAAGACGCGTTCAGAGTGCCTTACACAAAGAAGTTGCGCGCCTTAACGTCAACTGGGTGAAGTTACCATGCACAGTTGCACGCCTTCACCCTAGTTGTTTACAACCAACACGCGCACAGGTCAGATCCTTTAAACCTTAACTTCTTTCATTTTAAGTAAGCATGTGAGCTGTACGAGGGTTTTAAGTTGAAACGCAGAACGAGCGTAGTAGCCACGCCTAGGGTATTTTTGAACTAAATCTTCTGCGTGATTACTTTCCCTATTTAAAGCCTTCACGCGTTCAGAGTTTTCACTTAAAGCCTCCAAAGCCAAAGCGCACTGTGCAAAACCCTAGCTGCCCATATACCTTCATAAAAAATCAACAACTTTATGTTTGTTTTGAACTGAATCTAAGACTTCATTCCACTACATTATCACTGTCGAGTAAGTTTGTATCAGTTCTGCACTCAAATTCCAGGTAATTTTTCTCAATTTGCGAATTTAAATTCTAGGGTTCTTCTGAATTTGATTTGGGGATAAGTTGGGGATTGTGATTTGGGCGTGAATTATGCTTAATTGGTTATTAGAACATGAAATTAAGGTGTGATTGAGTCGAATTCATGCCAAAAATGTAATTTTTCATGAAAATTTGAATCTGCATTATGAATTTTTGTTTTGTTCCCTTACTGAGTATGTGCAGAAATATAGCCATGAATATTTTGGGAATTTTGTTGAAAAATTTGTGCAATGTAGCATTGAGTATGATGAGAAACATGTTCTGCAAAATGTTGAATTAATTTTACTCAGTTTAATATCCATAAAAAGAATTCAAATTGAAATAAATGAGTACTAATGTGATTTGTTGGAGTTGTAATTGTCTGATCATAATACATTAAAACTGTGCACTGCTGCTCTGGATTAATCTGCCCTGAAATTCACATTTTTACCATGAATTTTGCAAAAATTGTATTGAATGATTGAATCACTAAAAAATCAGCATGCTGTACACAATAAGTAAGGATTGAATCTGAGCTTATTTAGTGTCCTACATCTTCATTGAATCTGTTGTTGCTGCATCTGAACAACAATTTAATTGATAAGAATTTACATAATTTGAATGTCAAACTCTGTGTACATGTCTTGCATGCTACAGTCTCAATGACCTTACCATTCAATCTAATTGTGTTATGCAAATGCTTTCAATTCATCATAGATAATTCTAAATTTTTTTTCCAATGTTGCAGTGTTATACACAGTTGGATTACAATAATTTTCTGTATATTGAGAAAGTGAAAAATGGCAAGCACACCAAGGGGAACTCCTAGGACAAAAAGAGGCAGATTTTCAGAAGGACATTCTTCAAGAAGCACACCTGAGTATGACCCTAGATTCAGAGGCATCCCACAAGAAAATTACTTCAAGGAAAATATTCTGAAAAGAAAAATAGTGCATGACAGAAACTTTGAACTAAAGGAAGATGAACACTCTGAATTCTTTGACCAAATCAAGAAGAGAGAATGAGAATTATTTGTATCAACTGCTGGCAAGGGATTCAGAGAGCTGACACAGGAATTCTATGCTAATGCCTTAAGGACTAAGGGAGAACACTTAGCCCCTGATTACACTTTTGTTAGGGGCAAATTGATCAATTTCTCAGCTGAGAACATCAACAGAGTATTGCAGATCACAGCTGAGAGGGAAGAAGGGCGGAAAGACTTCTCTGAATTTCTGAAAGAGAAGGACAATGATTACACAGAAATTCTGCACAAGATAGACAGACCAGGGACAACTTGGGAATTGAAAGCAAGAGATGAGGCTAAAAACATCTCCACACCCAAGAATATCCCAACCAAAAATCTGCTGCCCTTCACAAAAGTGTGGAGCATTTTCATCTTGAGTTCCTTTATGCCTGTAATTCACAGCTCCACTATTGCCATCAAGAGAGCAGAATTGATCTTTGCAATAATGAATGACTTCTTTGTGGATGTTGGGAAAGTGATTAACAGCAGCATCAAGGCAATTTTAAAATCAAAGTCTGATTCCTTAACTTTTCCAGGCGTGTTAGCTTTGCTGTTCAAGGACGCTGAATTGGATTTTGCAGATTTCAGATAACAACTCAAGGCCACTCTTCCTATAACAGCCGCTATAATCAAGGAAATCTATACCAACACCCCTGTCACTGCTGCCTTACCTCTTCCAACTAAATTCAAGAAGGAATCACCTCTGAAAATGAAGTCTCGGTTGCAGAAAATTCTGGACAAACAAGAGTCCTTGCTTGCAAGGCAGGATGCTCTCCTTGAAAGTTATAAAGCTGGACTTCTCTTGATGGACACTATGATGATGAACATAGGAAAGAAGTTAGGAACGACAAAGGAGCAGTTGTATGAGT